AGGGAAGGGGGATAGTGGGTCAGGAGTGAGGGATACTGGGTCAGGATACTGTTGTGATGCCATGCCCTTAACGAGTTTGTTTATTCCAGGAAAGAGACCCCAGGCTTGGTTTCTACTAACAAAAGCTCAGCCAGATTTATCATTCACAAACAAGCCTAGATGCTGGCGTCCATGGCCAGCTGGTACAGGGTGTGGCTGGGCCACTGGCAGTCAGGAAACAGGCTTGAACATAACCCTCAAGCCCAGTACAAAGTATTAAGGGTTCCAGGGTGCCTTTGTTATAAACCAGTCAAAACAACTTGGTGTTCACAGCATATACACCCTAGCTCTCACCAGTTATCTAAAACATTTAGGTGACATCATCCACCTTCTACTTTGTACCAACTAGTGCAGGCTTCCCATCACATATGAACACTTGTGGCCAGGTCGCTCTAATTTTGGTTTGGTGTTCTGTACTGGTCTGATCAATTTGTTCTCCATTGGCTTTGGAGGCTCCTCTAAAACTAATAAGTTATTTTCCAGCATTTCCACACTTGTCGTGTGTGGTATGCCTAGTTTTGTTCTGGCAAGACCTGTGTCAGTTCATGCTCCTAGCAGGGCCTCTGTGATTTGTGTATGCAATGATCAATGGTTGTAATAATCCATACTCCAGTGAGTTCTACAGAAAGCAGACATCTGTTCAGCATGTTTTAAAAAAATCATTGTTATTCAACAGATATGCAAATACTTGTGATTTTTGGGATCTTTTTTCTTTGCACCACATCCTTTCTTGCCAGTGAAGGGTCTGCATTTGAGTAATATAGAATAGACCATATAAGAGTTACATTTGAAAACTTTTTTTCTGTCCTGCTCAGTCTTAAATTTTTCCCTTTCAGCTCAAATCAAAGACAAAATTAAAGAGAGGGACAAGAAGCAGAAAGAGAAGAAGAAACATAAAATAATGAATGAGATTAAGAAAGAGAATGGAGAGGTCAAATTATTGCAGAAAGGTAGGTTCAAACTAAGTAGCAGCTTTTAGTTACAATGTCAATACCTAACAAAATTCAATCTTATTTATATTGAGTTCTGGGTTTTTAATGGCACGCTTCTTTCAATTAAAGGCTCCTCTTGCAGAGAATTGTAAATGTTGGAAATTGAAATTTTAACATTAAAAGACCTGTTTTGTCATATGCATTAATTATAGACAGAAAATACTTCTTCTATTGTAATTTATAGTTGGGGGGTGGTCCTGCTGTATTCCCAATGATATAGTTGTGGATGGCTCTGCTTTGAGCAGGGGTTTGGACTGTTACTTAAATGCTCCATACAGCATACTGAGGTCTGATGTTACAGGTTGTATATATTTCCAAATGCAGATTTGGAATGGATGGGTTGTAGTTTTCTATAAAAGCTACCTGTCACCAAATATTTTTGGTATCCTGTTTGACCTTCACAGAAGTATAATAGTGGAAATGGGGAACACATGGAATGGGGAGCAGCCATGTCCCACACTGCCCTGCCCGATCCAGTTGCATGGGGTTAGGAGATGTGGTTTGGCCCTTATCTGGCTGCTCAGGGCAAGGGGGCCTGGCTGTGGGGGAAAAGTGGCAGTATTAATTGTTCCTGCTCCTTCATCATCACACTTCCTGACCTGTGTGGAGTCCTATGGGCTAGATTTGGCCCATGGGCCAGGGGTTGAGCACTTGTGGCCCAGTTCTCTGCATTTCCAGGCAGTTGTTGTCTAAGAGGATTCACAAAAAACATTCCTTCTGGCTTCTTTTGCACATCACAGCCATAGAGATGCTGGTTTAAAACAAGTAAGAAAACCCTAATGTTAAAAAGTATAGTGTGCTATAGAAACAGCAGTAGAGACCGGGGCACCACAATGACTAAGGACACTTCACTGTCAGAGAACTGTTAGATAAAATATGCTCCGATTTGGTTTTTTGGAAGTAGACCATGCCCTATGCTGTATGCCTTGCATGATCTTTGCTGATTTGACTTGAAGAAATCAGTTTCACGACGTCTAACTTGTTATAAACATTACATGCAAGCTGTGAAAGCTAAAGAGCATTATTAATATGGCAACTCCAGGCACACGCAATTAATGAGGTGCCAGTGCTAGGGGTGTCTGGTTTGACCTTTGTTTGGCCTCCTTGTTAGCATACATTATGATATGGATTTTCGTTGTGTTCAGATCCTATTTTTCCTGCCATAGTCAGTCCACTGAGTAGGTAAGTATTTTGTTTTCTCCCCAATAAATATCTCTCTGTACCTTATTTCCTACCCACAATTTTGTATTCAGAACAGGATTTGAATAACCATCCTCATGGACTCTTCTGTGCTTCTAATCACTATATTTTCAAACATTAAGTGTTTTATCTTCACAACATCCGTGTGAAGTGAGGGAGTATTATTTTCATTTTATATGTAGGAAGCTGAGATTCCTAGCGTTTAAATCATAACATTTCCACGAGTTTTAGTCACCTAAATTTTGAGAAGCATGGGATCTGATTTTTCTAAGAATTTTCTACTGTATAGCATCTGTGACATTGCAAGCACAACTCCACTGACTTCTGAGTGCTCACAGCTGCAACTCAGTTCCTATAAATCAAACCTTAGGCTCTCAAGGTACTGCCAAAATTATTGACCATCTGTGAAAAGTATTAATGCAATTTGCATGGCAACACAATAGTAACTGTCTGGCACAGGCAGGGATAGAATCCAGTTGTCTTGGATGGCATTCGCCTGCTTTAGCTGTGAGATTGTCCTTTTTAATGTGCAGGCCTTGGCCTCTGTGTATAATACCTTGCAACTTCAGTAGCAAATAAGATACCTGTCTTAAAGATAACAGCTTAATTTATGGTACTTCCTGATTTTGTTTTGAGTACATTCATCCATTCCAAGGAGACAAGGGTCCTGTTAAAAAAAAAAATCAAAAAAAAAAAAATCTGTGATTTAGTCTATACCATAAGGCATGTACACACAAGGGGCCTGAATTAAGGCTGGGCAGGCAGTTATTATTCTGCCATATTCTCTCCCTCTTTAGTGTTAAAGCTTTGCAAAATTAAATTAAAAAAAAAAAATCATAGGCCTTTCAGGAAGGAAACTGAAGTACAGGAATTCCATCCTGTGGCATCAACTTGGCATGTACACAATTCATTGCTTGGGTTGGAGCCTTCATAGTCCACCAGACTTGTGCCACTTGAGATAGTGGATCAACTAATCGTAACTGTGGGAGAGCCATAGAAGGAAAAGAAATCATGCTTTGCCAGTGACTTTCACAGATTAGAGTCTTGGATTGCATTCTAGACTTTGAAATTGAATTTACTGTTAAGTATGTGCTTGTTTGCTTGACCCTGTCTCTCTGACTTCTCCCAATCCTGTGTTTCTTTCTCATCCCAACTTCTCATAGTCTGCCCAGCCTCTGTCTCCACTCCTCAGGTCATATGTTTATGGGGACAGCAGAACTTTACCCGGAAGCCACTCCCTAATAAACTTCATGTTTGTGGTCCAAAATATAGTTGATCTAAGCATTTTTTAGAAAGTCTCAGGATTTTTTTTAGCATGGGTAAAAATGAAGTTTTTCTTTCCCTAGTCCCATTTTCAGAAATGGCTGAAGTTTAAAAAAAATAACAAAAAACCCAACCAAACAAAAAACAACCCAAGGCAGACACATGGCATAGAAAAATTCAGCCCCGTTGATTATAAAATTTGCCAGAAAATTAGGGTATTTGGGAAATGGTGGTAGCCAAAAAAAAGCAAATCCCCAATGAACCCCCTCAACTTTAAAACAGCTGAGAGAGGATTTGAGATTATTGTTCCCTTTTCTTTGTTGAAACCATTGTCTTAATATTAATGAGAAGAACATTTCTAGTTGTATTTTAATATTTCTGAAGGTTTACAAATATTGTGTATAAATTTAACACTTTCAGCTTGTTCTTGAGGTAGAGCCCTTATTTTGAAATTAATTGGGTTTTTCATTGTTAAGAGTGTGTTAAGATCCAGCCTCTTATGCATGTTGGACTTTAAGGACCTTGTCATTTTTAAATTCCACCTTTTGAACTCTAGAAGTAGTCTCTGCCTAAGGACAATCTTGCCTGAGAACGTAAGTTTTTTCTCTGGAATAAAATATTCTTGGTTTCAACCCTTTCTGCTGCCTGCTTAGAAATGACTGTGAGAGCCTAAAAGCAAAGAATTGGATGAGTTTAAAACTAAGCAGAGAGAAATGTTAGTGCTTATCTTAGAAAAACCTGGGGTACCTCCTTCTAGTATGGAAAAGTAGGTCTGACTAACTGTGACCTTATGTTCAGACTCTCTCTTTCAGTTTTAGCTTACTGAGGCTTTGGTTCTTTTTCTGCTCCCTGCTTACTCAGGTTGTAGAATATCTGTTTGAAAGACCTGGAGAAACTTCTGGGTACAGTCTTGTCCTTTCCTGAGAAAAGGCCTATTATGCAAGAAAAATCCTGTTGTGTATTTTGAGTTCTTTAGAATTTGTGCTGCTGAAGGAAAAACAAATTGTGTTGTGGTTTTTGAGATCACGATTTGCATGTTCATCTTAGGTTTTCACGCTTGGTCTTAACCTAGTTATAAATTTTTATATGCTTGAATAGGGTCACAAGGTTCTCAACATTGGGGAAAGAAGCATGTGTTACTGGCTGGCAAGACTTCTCTTTGGTACTTACGTTATTTTATCACATACAACACATACCTGTCCCTAGAAAACAGCTGTAAGAAATTTTGGTGTGCATGTAAGTGTTGAAATGTGATAAGTCATTTTTGCTGCTCAATCTTCTGCTGGGCAAAAGTAACTGCCCTTGATCTCTCTCCCTGCATGTGTAGGCTTGGTTCCCTAGCACTATAGGATAATCAGGGTCTGGAAAACAAAGGAACAATTTTTAGCCCTAGAAAATGTTACCCATTTATCTTTTGTGTACACCACTCAAATATTTACCTGGCCACCATAAATGAAAGCTTTTTTTTCACTTAAAGTATACTTTAAACTTTGTAAAACTATTTTCACTAGTTTTAAAAGAAGAATATTGTGATTTCTTGTTATGTCTATTGTACTGTATTTAGTAGGCATAACAGGAATAAATATGTACAGTTATTGGTGAATTGAAAGAAGCAGAGGTAGTAGACAAAAAAATCAATTGCCATTGGTAGTTAATTGATTAAATGTAGGAAAAGCAAATTTGCTGAGCTTGTTTCAATAAGATGATTAAAAATGTAGAAGAGAGCAGCACTGTTAGTAACCTTGTTTTATTTTTAGAATTGCAAACATACTCCGAACCATGTGTTTGTTTCTGAAAAATAAAAGAAAATAGTATGTAGTAATTTTTCACTTAACTTCTAAATCCTGCAAAATTTATGAAGCATCTTTTTCCACCTTTCCCAGCCTCATCAGTTGAGCAGAGTCACAGTTGTCTTGTGAGTAGCTGCCTGTACTTTCCCAGACAAACAGGTAAATAAGGGCTAAACAGTATAATAGCTTTCAACTGTCAAACGGAGGCTGTGAGGGGACAAATTAAACCTCCTTACATTTAACTGGTTAGAAAGACAACTAGCTTAACTCAGTTGCAATTCTGAAGTCTGTTCAGTAGCAGTAGTTGTGCTCATTGGGATAGCAGAAACGTGAGGTCATAAAAAGACTAGAGCTTTAGCAATGATAAAAGTATGCCAAGCATTTTATAATTATATCTGCCAAATAGAGGTCTTAAGAACTATTTGCATGTAACCACTGGGTTTTCATCAGTTCAAACATTACTACTACTCTAGCATGCCCTGGAATAAGGTATACAGCTTGTTTTTGAAAGGCAGAATGAAGAAAAAAGGTCTTTCCTTGTAGTAGCTGAATTGCTACTCCCCCATGAGAAACTCTGAGTGTACATATATTTTGGAGTTTTCTCCCAGAGCAAAAATGGCTAATCCAGGAGAAAAATAACAAGCAGGGTTAAATCACTCCTGGGAAAGTTTATCCTGTGAAAGTGAATGCCTGTCTGTATGTGTTCTCTTCTGAGGGAAGCCAGAGTGTAGCCTTCCAATATCTCAGAGTGCTTTGCTTCTCCACCCGTCCCCATCCTTCCCCTGGAAGAGTGTGTTGCCCACTGGACTCTACTGCAGCCAAGTGGGGAGCAGAACATAGTTTCATAGTTGGTAGGGTTGGAAGGGACCTGAGTAGATCATCTAGTCCGACCCCCTGCCATGGCAGGAAAGAGTACTGGGGTCAAACGACCCCAGCAAGGTGTTTGTCTAGCCTCGTCTTAAAGACCCCCAGGGGGGTCTTTACCACTTCTCTTGGAAGTTGGTTCCAGATCCTAGTTGCCCTGACAGTGAAGTAGCGCTTCCTGATGTCTAATCTGAATTTACCCTCTGCCATCTTGTGACCGTTATTTCTAGTCACTCCTGGTAGTGCTCGGGGGAACAGGGACTCCCCCAGTGCCTGCTGGTCCCCCCCTGACTAGTTTGTAACAGGCCACTAGAAGCCCAGGGTACCAGAGTGTGACACCGTACAGGCAGTGCTCCCCCTTTATCAGGACCCCAGGCGCCCAACAGCAGCGTGGCTGAGGGAAAATCCCCTGCCACTGAAGGCACAGCCCCAGGCCAGATCCAAAGGCTCTGTGGGCTGGATCTAGCTGACAGGTCATAGGTTGTGACCCCTGAGCTTAAAGGGTGTGTGGTTTAGTGAAATGACTGCTGCTTCTGAGGGTACTGGGTTCTAGCCTACACCCCGATCCCCGTGCTCCCTTCCAATCCTGCATTGTGTAGCAGAGGGACAGACTGACTCTGAGCAGTCTGGGTTGGCCAGGCCAAGCTGCCCTGTGTACTTCTGCCAGAACAGAACGGCTGATTGAGGGAGTCTGCAGAGCACACGTGCACAGGCCCCCCTAGCTGCTCAGCATCAGTACTGCAAACTGTCTGCTCTTCAGGGGCTTGGCATTCTAATGTCTGTTTGGACATTTCCAGGTAAGTGTTTTTTCTGCCAGGAGAGCAGATAATTTGAAATGTGTGTACTGAATGTAAATGATCACATGGGTTCTTTCTGTTGTTTAAATCTATGAAAGTCAAAGTTATCTGGATGTCAGTTTTGAGTTGGAAATCAAATCATCCAGAAGCTTGTCTTAAGTTCTGGTGTTGAGGATGGTGAGTGTCATTTTCTGTTGGAATACTGCATATTAACTAAATATGTGAAACAGACCATGATTAGTTCCATATAACTGCAAATCTTTTGAATATCCAGTGGTAACTAGTGTAGATATGCTGGCTCCTCTGTGTATAACATAAGGAGATGGCTGGCTGGACAGTGCACATTGGGATGCTCTACAAGGGAGTGAGGGAAAGGAGGAGGGAGTACCAGACAAATTAGAGGCAGCAAGGAGATGTGCTGTAAGCAGTGGCTCAATCTTTTAACTGCCATATGTGAACCTGCGTAACTCATTCTTCTGGAGACATGTTTCAACCCAAATACTAACAGAAACATAGTTGTAATATTCCTTTCTTTTAGTTTTTACAATGAGGCATGAACTGAGGCTTGCTATGTTAACAGCAGTTTTACATGCCTACAGATGTCATTACTACTTTCTTCACCATTGTTTATTCCCAGAATTTTGAATGAAACCTTGGAATCATTTGATGACAGGGTTGTTTAAATATAAAAAATAACTTTCAGTTCTCTGCTTCATACATCTGGTCTGCTTGGTAGGGAATATGTTTTAACTATGATGACCATATGGCCCGGTTTGGCCGGGACAGTCCCAGATTTCATAGGCCATCCCAGCATCCTGGCCGGTTAGTGAAAATGGAAACAAAAGTCCTGGACTGGCACCTCCCCTCTTGTGCTACCCAGCCTGACTCTTCCTGAGCAGTGGCTGGAGGTGGGGGAGGGGGACGGGCTGGGCTAGGTACTGTTCCTCCTGCCTGGGGCCAGGGGAAAGCACAACTGTGAGCGTGGGCTGCTCATGTGCATGTGCATGCCCATGCATGTGTCTGTGTGACACCCTGGGTAAAATTGTATTTTGGCTCCCTTTGGCACCCTCCTGAGCAGTGGCTAGGGGCAGACTGGGCTTCTCATGCCTGGGGTGGGGATCAGTTGAGAGGCAGAGCAGGGTCCTGGATTTCCTTAAAAATATGGTCATCCTATTTTTAATATATTCTAAAGCTGTGATTCTATGAACATTACTGGATCAGCTAGAGATGGAGTCACCTGTTTGGAGGGTAACTTCTTGTTTTTTGCTATTTTTCTCTAGACAGAAGTTATATTCCAGGGTTTCTCTTAATGTTGGTATTTTTTTCTTTTTTAAAAAAGGGTTGGAATTATTCCCAAAACTTGGGATAATATTCTCTAAGATGCATCTCTAATCTCTTTGGTTCTGAGCTGTTAAGTCTGCATGGATTTGCGTTCTAAAATCATATCTACCTGAGAAGAGCAGATGGAATTCCGTGCTGCCATGGGTAGACTCACTGAAATCTAGCGTGGGTATTTCTGAGTTCAGGGTGGAAAATAAAGCAGGATGCATGACAGAATTACTATTGTGTTGGTAGTGTCAGAGTTGTAGCTGTGATGGTCCAGGAATTGAGGGGCAAGAGTTTTTGTGAAGTTGGTCCAATAAGAGGCATCACCCACAATTTGAGTTAAAGTTAGAAGAATGACTTGCATGCCAGAAATTAAATGATTTCAATTCACTCCTCAGTTATTGATGAAGAAAAAGTATGCTTGATCAGAGAAACAAATTTTGTAGCAGCCAATTCTTTGAAGCATGTTTCCATTTCAATTTATTTCATCCTAGATGACTCGTACAGAGTAAGTATATATTTGGCTCCAGTCATTTGTTGGCTTTAGCAAGTTGCACTCAAGTTTGATACCTCATAGTAATATTAAATGTTCCCTTCCTAGTGAGAGTAGGTATGGATAAGTTTGAGTCCTATTCTGAATACATGTTTTATGCAGGTAGAAATTAATCTTTTTCCTCTCAACAGGTGGGAAGGAGAAACCAAAAACCAATGCAGAAGAATTACAAATTAAAAAAGTAAAGAAGAAAAAGAAAAAGAAACATAAAGAGAGTGAGAAAAGAAAGCGTCCAAAAATGTACAGCAAATCTATTCAAACCATCTGCTCAGGATTGGTTTCTGATGTTGAGGATCAAGAAGCCAAAGGCATCATAGATGATCATCTTAAGGCTTTCAGTGGGAAAATTATGGATCCCAAGAAGGACTATGAGTCCAAGATAACAGAGAACAGTGAGTTTCCATTTGTCTCGTTAAAGGAGCCACGGGTTCAAAATACACTCAAAAGATTGGACACATTGGAGTTCAAACAGCTCATTCATATTGAGCACCAGCCTAATGGAGGTGCATCTGTTATCCATGCCTACAGTAACGAACTCTCCCACTTATCTCCTGTGGAGATGGAGAGGTTTGCAGAAGAGTTTGTGGGTCTGGTTTTTAGTGAAAATGAAAACTGTGCAGCTTACTATGTAATGGGTGTTGTTCATGGGGCAGCTACTTATTTACCTGACTTTTTAGAATACTTTTCATATAATTTTCCCAATTCACCAGTGAAAATGGAGATTTTGGGAAAGAAAGATATAGAGACAACGACTATGTCAAATTTTCATGCTCAGGTAAGAGGTTACACATTTTATTTTTTTAAAGCATCTAATAGTTTCAAACTAAATGTTAAATGAACTGTTAGGATCTAGTTGCTGTCAGTAGTGATATATCGATAAAATAAAAGATTAGAGGCAAGGAAATCTCTTACGTAATCGACTATTAGAATATACAAGAACAGGAAACTGGCTTCAAACATTACAGTGCGTTTTTACATTGTATGTACATATACTTCTATGGATTTGTTTTTGGTACCTGAAGAATTGCCATTGGTTTCAGAGCATGAACATGATTTGCTGTCTTGAAATGGATTCCTATAGCTATCTAATACATAATTAATTGTGTTTTTAATATATGCATTGAGACTAAGTGCCTTTCTTCAGTAGAACTGACTGGTGTTAAACTCAATTATTTCTATTAACAGCTATATTAACTGTGTTCCTCTTGAAATTTGTTATTTGTGTGGCAAAATGGTGGGTCAGCTTCCTGAATTAGTTTGAGAAACATGATTTATGTAAACTGACAAAACTACTTTATTATTATTTTTGGTAGTCTTTGCTCCTCTTAAGAGTGGTAAAGACATTATTATCTCTGCGGACAAATTATTTTAGCTTACATAATTTAAGGAGACAGTTTTGTCAATTACCTTTGTGACAGGAGTAGTAGAAGCACCTAGATCATGAAACAACTAATGAACTGAAGTCTACCTTTTAATTGTTATAATTAACTATGTAAATAATGACCAAGTTCAACTCTACCATGAACAAAAAAGTTACTATCTTGTGACCTTTAAATGTCTGAAAATCTTTTTGAAATTTATTTTTGTCACCATCATAAATATAATGATTTAAAACATGCTCAAATATAAATAGTGTACTGCTGTGTAACAGAGGATTTTCTTTCCTTACAACTATACATTATTTGTTTAGAAAAGAAAAATGTATATGCATGTAGCAAGCTGGGCACTCACTTAGCTCAAGTCCAGTCTCTTACAATCTTTAACTCAACACAATAAAAAGTCTTTTATTTCTTGGGCGCACTTGCCCCTCTTGCATATCCCAGTCCTCAAGAATCCAAACATACAAACATGAATCCAAACATGAATCTCTATTCAGAGTGTACTCTGTTGTGAGTCTTCTCCAGCCCTGAGAAGGTTCCTCCAACTCACTGCTGCTGTCTCTGCACTGCAGTCTTCCTTCTCAGCCTGACACTGATTTCGGTTCTGTTGTGGTGCCACTATTCCTGGCCTTGTAGCCCGTGGGTCGTTCTCAGACCCTGTGACAGGGCTCTCTGGCTCTCTAATGCTTCCAGACTTGTAGCCTTCCCTCTCAACCCGTGGTCTTTTCCGAGACCCAGAGAGGTTTACCTCAGCTCTGC